GGGGGGGGGGCAGTTAGGCCAACCTAACTACATTGCACAGGGTGAAATATTTTCCACAGACCTGAGCAATCTAGGTAGATCAATTTCATTTTTAAGTGGAGACTGGGCCTCAGAGTTGAGCTTCAGCTGGCAGGGGAAGGGGTTTGGATAGATAGCACCTGCCCTTCCAGGGGTTTCACACACACGAACACCTGGGTTACATATGCCATAGGTAGCTGCTGCTAATATTGCTTAGCAAACTATGAAATATTTTCCACAGACCTGAGCAATCTAGGTAGATCAATTTCATTTTTAAGTGGAGACTGGGCCTCAGAGTTGAGCTTCAGCTGGCAGGGGAAGGGGTTTGGATAGATAGCACCTGCCCTTCCAGGGGTTTCACACACACGAACACCTGGGTTACATATGCCATAGGTAGCTGCTGCTAATATTGCTTAGCAAACTATTGTGATAGGGTGCAAAGGCTGGTTCCACTGAACAGGGGCATGATGTCAGCCCTGTTTCTCACTCCCCTTGCACTTGTGCTCATGGTAAGAGCCATGTGACAGAGGCCTGTGGGAAAGCGGGGCGACACAACCAAGGGTACAGAGCTAGGTTGTAGCCCAGCTGGGCAGATTCCTCATGTCTTATTACCATCCTGCATTCTTCTTTGCTACCACATCTGGCCAGATGTGTGAAGTGATTTAGGTGCCTCACGATGCAGAGAGGCATCTAGCGGAGTTTCAAAATCACCGTGAGACACTTTAATCCTTGGAATTTCTCAGATTTTCCAATCTGCATCTTCATGCAAATGAATACCTTTAAAAACCCACCCTTTATTCCTTGAGAAAAGCCCCTGGAAGCTGCCTGTGTGTTACTTTCTGCTGGGCCATTCCACCCTCTTAACAACTACATAAAGCCAGGGAAGGCTGTGGGGATTAATGAGCAGGCAGACCTTCTGTTCCCTAGTGCTGTTTCCTTTGAAGGTGATCCACTTCCGTTTGTCCTTGCTGTAAGTCAGAAAGAACTCTTTCACATACAAGGACTTCGGGAACTGCTTGGCTCCTTGCGTCTTTATCCCCGTGATCAGAACTTGCCTTTGCAGGTCCACCTGTATACAATAGCAAGATACACAAACTAAGAAAAGCTGCACCGTGAGCCCATTTTCATCCTCTGGCACCACAGGTGTGGTGCCAGGCCTGCTTTTAGGCACTCAGAATGACACTTTCATGCTTGAGATGGGTAATGAGGTGCCTGAGCACTGATGCAAGAGTCCAGACGAGTTGTGTCCTAACCTACTGTATGTACGCGTGGATTTACATACAGACAATTTTTGTGGTGCCCGTCACCACAGTCTGGGCACTGGACATAGGTTGCCAGATGGTTTCAACAAAAATACTGGACACACTTGACATGACATCACAATCTACATTATATCTTATTTAGAAAATACCCGACATTTATATTTTCTCAATTTGTTTCCCAAACAGAAAGCTCAAATACTGGACTGTCCGGTTCAAAACCGGACACCTGGTAACTCTACCTGGACAATCACTAACAAATCCATCCACATAGCTCCTTGGGAGAAGCAGCAGAGGGTCACTATCTGATCTCCACTGTACAGATGAGGGGAGCGCGGCACAGAATGGAGAAGGCCTATGTTTCGAAAGCAGCCTCTGGTTTTGAGCAACCAGCCAGAGATACACAGGGCTTGTTTTCTGGAGATGTTGAGCACCCTCAAGGCCAAATGACGCCACTAGGGGCCATGAGTGCTGAATCTGGGCACAGAAGCACCCTAAAAAAAAACCCAAACCAGAGGCAACATTTGAAAGATTTTGCACAAGATCATGCAGTGCAGGGAATAGAGCCAAGGTCTCCTGATCCATGGGAGTGAGTGCCTCAGTCCCCCCACCGCCAGAGGCCTTTTCATGCAGACAGTGAAAAGGTCAGTTATGTTGTTTACCAGCAAAGCCGTGCAGGAAGAGAATGATGCTCTTTATGCCGCAAATGAGAAGGAAAAATCCCTACAATTATTTTAAGGGAATTTTCAGCCCTTCTTCATCAAGCACAAAAGGATTATTTCTCTCTCCAAGGTTTCTGCCCTTCCAAAAGAAAAACAATTCTGTTCATGGATTGCAGGGGGTTTTGGAAGGCACCTGTAACTACAGACCCTGGTTTCTAGAGAGCAAGTCACATGAGAACCGTCAAGAGAGCCATTAATGCCTTCCCAACTGCTAGACTGCTTGTGTGTATTTTTAATGAACAATTATGTTGACTATAATCACCCTCAAATGTGTTTGGAGGAAGACAGAGGAGAGAAAAGTGTTGGGCTGATAACAAGGGTGCCATTTTGGCAGGCCAGGGGGCAGCAGCTGTGTGTACTGAGATGCTGCTTGCTTTTCTTCCCATTCCCCTGATTATTAGGGAGTGAGGGGAGAGAACATGGCTTATGTGCATGCCTCTCATTCCTGACTGGTGAAGTTGGGGGCAGAGGAGTAATTCACGAAATCTGTGTACTTTCCCCTTGGCTCCCTGATAATCAAGGGAACAGGAAGAAAAGCAAGCAGCATCCCATTATGCCCAGTACTCTGCCCCTCTAGCTCTCCCAAAATGGCATCCTTGGCTGATAGCTCAGGAGAAAGTGAAGCATTCTATTTATCCACACAGAATGGGCAGTGACACTGCAAGCTTTCCCCACCGCTGCCACCACCAGGCCCCCTCCCTGAGCTGCAGGTCCCATCCCCACTGGTCAGAGGGGTGTTCCGTCTCCCTGGCTCATCCAGTCCTTGGCCATTCTTCTGAGACCTGCCACCTGTCCCCCTCCACTCCCGCAAGGGTTAGTTCATACCAGTTGCAGCAGCAAAGGGGGTAGGTTTGTGATGTGGTGTGAGAATAGCAGCTCATTACACTGGTCTCTGACAGAGGATCATACTGCTGTGATTTTCTGGCTCCAGCAAAACCAGGCTGGATTCAGAGAAAGGCTGCACGTCCTGTTATCTAGCCCCTGAACTGGCCGGGTTCCTCCTGAGCAGCAGTTTTAATTGAACATCAATATTAACCTGCAGTTGCTTATAGAATGATTCTCTTTGATCCAGTAGGATGAGCGAAGAGGCAATTTTTAAAGGAGATTGGCTTAGCACAGCACTGACTGCTGAACAAGGAGTCTGGCAGTCTCCCATCTACCTCACCAGTAACGCAGCTGCCTAGAGATTACTGTGTCCTAATTAAGAGCACGAGCTGCAGTGACATGCAGGATGTACTGTCGGTCAATCTAGAGAGCAGAGACACAACAGGCAAGTCTTGCAAAATCTTATAGTGCTGCAGCCAGTTCTAAGGGAATAGTCAGTGGGGGCTGATTTTCAAAGCAGCTCAGCTACCTGTTAAGGCACCAAAATGAAGCGGACGGATACTCAGAAGTACTCCGCACCCAAGAGTCTCCACTCTTGAACATCTTCAGAGGCCTAACAGCTCGCTGAGCTCCTCTGAGAACATGGCCACTTGTTCTGGGGTACCTGTAAAGCCACGAGAAGCTGAACAGGAAGTGTTTAAAAGTACAAAACTTAATGAATTAACCCCCCCTTGCCCCCATGTAACAGTTTGAGTAGAGAAGTAGAAAGCAAATGTCCAATCCATGACTAGACTGGAGAGTTAGCTGGTCACACAGCAAGGGGTGAATGCCTATACATATGAAGAGGAAGGGGACAGCAAAAGGCTGCTTATCAATATGGTTATACTCTGGGCAGCAACAGGGCAAACTGCCTCCTAATTCCACCCTACAACAGGCTGCAATCCAGATAACACTAGGGCACTCGCTCAGTGCCCATTTGAAGTGGAGCATGAGACCTACTGACTCACCAGTGCCACTTCCTGCAACACCTGAGCTTTCCTTGGCAGTCTCTTTGGGAAGGTCTAGGTATTGCTTTACCCTGTTTAATGCCTGAGACCCAAGATGATCCCAGCATGTGTGCAGTTATGTAGCTGCAGGCCTCAGCTCTCCTGTGTGGACCTAGCAGTATTGCACCAACCACCATACCTGGATCCATGGAAATTCACTTGGCTCCAAGTCAGTGCTCCAAGCATTATATGTTCCAGCGTTGTTTAATCTGGCTAATTTAGGTTCCCAATAGCCTACGTGAGAAAAAAGAACAAAGAGGTATGGTACAAATCAAGGACAACTAGAACACTTCTCAGCATGCATACGTCAGCTCTTTTATTGCTGTGTCTTGGAGAGAGACTCCAGTACAAACACCTGAAAAGCTGTAGTGCAGACAAAAGTTTCAGAGACATTTGATGTTACCAGCAATTAAAAATTGATTGCATCTTTGAAAATGTGGTTATAGTCAGAGAAGTGGCTTTGAAAACAACACAACACCTAGTGCTTAGCGAGCACTTTTCAGCAGCAGATCTCAAAGCACTTTACAAAAGGGAGTCAGTATCAGTCTCCTTATTTTACAGATGGGGAAACAGGCACAGAGCTGTGAAGTAATTTCCCCACTGTCACCCAGTACACCAGTGGAAGAGCCAGGAATAAAACCCAGATCTCCTGGGTCCCAGTCCTGTATTCTAACCACTCAGCAACCCCACTTCCCAGAGCATCCTCTTTCTTAACTCCTATGGCTCTGACAGCATTAGGACTTAGAGTCACATTACAATACGCATCTGCCATAGCTAGGCTACATTGGTTACAAGCAGTGGAGGCAGAGTTAAAGCATGTTTTACATCCACTGTAGAAAGTAACCCCTTGTGAAGGGTACTGTGTTAAAAATCAATTGTTACCCTTGTCTGACATATAATTTTCAAATGTGTGTGACTTGACTACATTTAAAGCAAATGCCTCGAGAGGCATTTTATTGAGGGCTAAACCCACAGGAAGTTTGAAGTCTCCAAACTAAGCCATTTGTGTATCACTTCAGGGAGGAAACACTATTTGGAAAAAAATTATCCATTCATAGGTATCTGGAATGTTACTAAGCTCCCCATCAAAAGCTCCTCTTTACGATGGGAATAAGCGTGAGGAATTGAAGACGCCCAACACTGCTCGGAAGTCATATTACTAAAGACCACGTCTGACCTTCTCAAATAATGAAGTGTTCTTCAACCACGTGTTTAAACTCACTTATGTGATGAGACGCGTTGATCTGTGAATCAAGTATTAATCCATTCATTAGGCCCATTGGTAACTTGCACTCTAGAGAGAGCATAAAAATGTTTGATTACTGATGAGCTGCATTTCATACCTTATCAGGAAAAAAAGGGGCATTTAGAGTCATGTTTGAGGGCTGTCTGGGCCCTTCTGGTGAGGTCACCCTTTGCCCCAGCTCCCAAAAGAACATGTTTGGGACTTCATCCCAGGGGCCAAGAGGGGAGAAAGAGCTGTATGCCCACAGGACCAAATTCATTTCCGCAGCCAATACCATCAGTTAAGGAATCATAGGTCATTTTTAAGGAAACAACTAATGTACAGGTAGCTCTCTGAATTCTGTGCAGCTCTTCTTTTACACTCAATATATGATAAGCATTCCATGAGCTCCCCCTTTATAAAATAGCCATTTCCTTGGTTCAGATTCTATTCTGTCATTATTGTCCCATGCCCAATAACTTTAAATTCTCCCTGAAAGGAGGAGAGAATGTTATAACTAAAATCCTGTAGGTTAGAATGATGATGTTTAGATTCAGTACCTTTTTCTACAACGATAAAGAATGCCTGCATTCCAGCTTGTTGGTATTCCCCCACTTCGGTGTCTAAAAACCATACACCAGCTCTTGATGGTATCATTTCAATAGTTCGAAATGAGCCTTTAAAAGAGAAAGAAAAATAACCACAGGTAATCTTTTGAAACATTTGCAGGAGATTGGCTGGCACAGAACAGTGAGGTTGAACAGACCAGTCTCTGGTGGCTTGACAAGGTGAGAGTCAGATATTTTGCACCCATTGGAAAGAGTAGTTAATACCATTAACATCTTTCTCCTTTTTAATAAACAGGGTCTAATAAGAAATATGCTGGAGTCAAAAGTTCAGATCTGAATCTGAGCTTCTCTGCTTTAAAATTTGCTCTTTCACATAACCTTGAACACATGCACGTATTGTACAATAGGACATACACAGTATGTGCTGTGTGATCATGCAGTGACTGACCTAACCTTTTATACGGATTCATGCTGTGGCAACAGTAACTGAAGGGCTGATGCTGGGCCCTGTTCCAGCCATGTCTTAGACAGTGTGTAAACACTGGAAAGAAGCTGCAACAGACTATGCACTAGGGGAATTCTCTGAGAGTCCAGCCTCATGCTGCTCCCACCATCCTTAAAAGCCCCAGCATAGTGGGCATGCTCATGGTCAAAATCAGAAGGCACAGCTCAGAATCTGCCCCGATGTCCTGACTTACACACTGCAAATCTCAGCCTGAACAAGGCTTTTCCACAGGCTTTTTTGTTTTGTTGGTGGCTTTCAGTGCTACAGTGCTGCCAAGTCTTGGGTTTTATCACGAGTCTCGCAATAGGGATTGGTCCACACTTTTCCGAAAGACTTTTGCCCGAAAGGGCCAGTGTAGACAGCCCGGTAGTGTTTTCTGCAAAAAAGCCCCGATCGCGAAAATGGCGATCGGGGCTTTTTTGCGAAAAACCGCGTCAAGATTGGCCACGGATGCTTTTCGGAAAAGTTTTCCGTTAAAAGCATTTTCGGAAATTCATGCCAGTGTAGACATAGCCATGGAGTATAATTGACAAGACACTGATCTGCTATGTACCTGGAAGGAGAGGGTAGACACTCAGCCGATGCCCAGGGACTCCAAGTTCTGTGAAGGTCTGACCATGAAAATGAACCACATGAATATCTTTTGATCCGCCCATATTCAACAAATACCATCGAACAAATTCATCTTTATACATTCTCAGTCCTTGCAAGTGGTATATGATCCCATTAATGGCTGAAAAGAAAAAAGACAAAGGCAATTACAAACATACTCCAGTTGAAAGACACTAAAAGATGTCAATGTGAGTTGGACCAGAGGATACAGTTGGATCTAAATTCTTGTCCATGCCAATCCCTAGTGTCAACATATAATAATGACCTTCTCAGTTAATGAATTAAGCGCCATTACAAGTGTGGTTGATGGTCATTTAAATAAGTGAAAATACTCTCTACTTTTCTGGTAGAAATAGAATTAACAAAAGCCCATTCAGCAGTTGAATTCCAGCACTATTTAGCCATATCTGGTTGATTGAGTCCAACACGAAGTCAGCTTGATTCAATATTAGGTTTGTGAGTTACACTAGCCCCCCATAAAGCCTATATGAGAGGGCCTAAATTAAGTTGATTCCTCTTAAAGAGTCATTAGCAAGTTGATAATGTGGCTTTGAAAATTTCAAGGAAAAACCCTAAGTAGGGTATTAGAAAATGTAGAACACACTAGGAGGCTGCACCTCCTGCTTACTATGCTTGCCAACTCCTCATCTGTCCACCACAGCCAGATCATGGCCTCCCTTCCTACAAATGCCACAGCAGGAAGAGGGCTGCCTCCAGCCTTTCCTGTGGCCAGATGGGGGCTGGGCCCCGTTTGGACAGGGTGTCTGGCCTAAGGGGAGGGTGCAGGAGTGGGCTGGGGGCAGGGTGTCAGTCCAGGAGGGAAGGGGCAGGAGTGGGCTAGGGGTGCAGCAGGGGAGGGAATGTGTGAGGCGTTGGGTGTGCCAGGGTCTGGGGGGAACTTAGTTCTTTTTGTACAGCATGTTGCTCCCAGGCACCAGAGGCTTTCCCTGCTGCTCCAATGGGGAAGCTGCTGCCAGCCTTGGAGCCAGGAACTCGGGCCATCACCTGCCTGGCACTCCAGCCTCATGGTCCCTCCCCCCCTGCAGGATTAGAGCACCAGCTTCCTGGGCGGGGGAAGGAGAAAGCCCCAAGACTCTGCACTGGATTCGGCTTGTGGGGAAGCACGTGCACACACTGCTCCCCTCCCCGCAACAGTGTGCACGCTTCCCCACAAGCCAGATCCAGCACGGAGCCTCCTTCCACTCCCCCACCCTCAGACAGCCCGTGCTGGTGCTCTAATCTTGCAGAGGTGGGGGAGCTGTGAGGCTGAAGCTTCAGGTAAGTGGTGGCCCGAGGGGCTTGCCCGAGGCAGGTGGCAGTTAGTGTTGGGGCTCCGGACCGGAAGTAGAAGTGGGGCTGGAGGCGGC